ACATCAAATTGAATAGGGGGAACGCTGAAGACTTTCTAAGGTCTAGAAGAAGACAAGGCTGTTCACTTCCACTGCTTTTATTGAACATAGTACTGCAGGCTTTGGCAAGAGGCAATTAGGCAAGAGAAAGAAATAAAAGTTAAATTACAAAGGAGAAAGTCAAATTGCTACTGTTTGCAGATATTACAATTTTATGTATAGAAAGGTCCGAAGACTCTGCCAAAAAGCTGCTAGATCTAATAAACAAATTCAGCAAACTTGTAGGATGCAAATTCAGTGTACAAAAATCAGTAGCATTGTTATATACTAATAATGAATCACTTGAAAAAGAAATAAAGAAAGAAATCTATTTATAATAGCTACAAAAAATTTCTAGGAATAAATTTTATCAAAGAAGATGTCTACAATGAAAATTATAAATCATTGGTGAAAGAAATTGAAGAGAAAATAAGAAATGGAAAGACATCCTGTGTTCATGAATTAGAAGAATCAATATAATTAAAATGTGCATGATAATATTATTTATACTTCTGTATTAAAAAAGAAACCATAGAAATAAGATTTTGGATACTTTCACTATAATAAAATATTAAATGTTGGAAAAAATAAATCTATTTACCATTAGTGGATATTATATTATGTATGTGTATAATGAAATATTACATAGCATCCCATAAATATGTACAGTTTTTATACATCTGTTAAATATTTTTAAAAATAATATAAAGCTTATTTTATGAATTCTTAAGCTCAATACAATTCACAATGAAAAAAAGAGTACTGAATGTACAATTTAATTCTTACATCAAACAGCAGCTAGAAATTCTAGTTTTCTTGTCTCCATCCCTCAATTTAGATTGCTAGGCATCTTTGTGTTCAGCCATCACACCATAAAAAGTTAACTAAAGACATCCTCTCCTTCCCTCTTTAACAAGTTATTTCAAACACAGCCATGGAAAACAGTTCTCTTTAGGAGCAAAGGGGTGAATTACCTCTCATAATCTCTTCTGGCCTGTAATTGCAACACCCATTGTACATGTGAACAAATGGCATCATGAGACTAAGCCTTGATTCACACCTGGTCTTGATTCTTAGTCATCACCCCTAACCACACACCCCAAAACTGAGAGAGAGTGGGCATGGATAAAAGTCTTGGCCACCTCAGAGAGAGGTTTCATGTAAATACAATGTACTATTCATAGTTGCCACACCTTGAATTGTTTTCTCTTTTCAATAGGGGAAAAAAAAAACCTCAATGCCAAAAAGCCTGCTTATCAGGTGACACTGATCATGAACTCAGTTTACATAGCTATTTGGCAGCACTAGGATGTTTAATCTTTGGATTACTGAAGTTTAAACAAGATTTAACTCAGAAATAATTTTTGTCTAATTGAAATGCAACTTGTGAGCCTTTTCACTTACTGTGAATACAACAGTATCTATGTCAGACCCTCAAGGGGGCGGTAATCATCTCCCCTACTCCCACATTTATGAGAAATTACTGCACTATCCACAATAGCCAAAAATGGAAACAGTCTTAGTGTCCATCCACCAAAGAATGGATAAAGAAAAGGTGGTACATCTTTTTAATGCTTCACAAGTTACATTCTCAGTTTGAATCCTATGTCCGGGTTTTTTTTTTTTTTTTCTTTTTTTAACAGGCAGAGCGGACAGTGAGAGAGAGAGAGAAAGGTCTTCCTTTGCCATTGGTTCACCCTCCAATGGCCGCTGCAGCCGGCGCGCCGCAGCCGGCGCACCACGCTGATCCGAAGCCAGGAGCCAGGTACTTATCCTGGTCTCCCATGGGGTGCAGGGCCCAAGCACTTGGGCCATCCTCCACTGCACTCCTGCACCACAGCAGAGAGCTGGCCTGGAAGAGGGGCAACCGGGACAGAATCTGGCGCCCCGACGGGGACTAGAGCCTGGTGTGCCGGCGCCACAAGGTGGAGGATTAGCCTACTGATGCGCCGGCGCCGGCTGAATCCTATGTTCTTTCATTCTTTCCTGACCTCAAATAGATCCTCACTTAACTAAGACAACATATCTTTGGTCAGTTGAGTATTCCTGTCAATTAATATATGTGCCAAGACAGTAAGGCTAAATGAGTTCATTGTGGAACCTGGCTGTTCCTGTTTGTTATCAGCTCTAACACCTAGTAGCTGTCCAGCTGTGCATAATTTACCTAAACATTGGCAGTTCAATTTCCTCATCTGTAAGTGAAGGACGCTATGATTACCTACCTCCTTACAGACAAACGGTGAATACAACGGTGTTTGTATGCTAGCCCTCCCCTAACATGCAAGCATTTGTAGGCTGGGCCAATACAAATGTTGATGGGACAAGGACATAAGCCTCAGCCATTTTAGGTTCTTGCTACCCCTGCCTTCTTCAAGAGACTAATTCAGTCTCACATCCTGTATTATTTCCCACTCCACCCCGCTGCATTCTACCCCAGGTTTGGAAGCCAGTGGGCCAAACCTGAAGAATCTGTATGGGGAAGCTCACCTCTGCCTGCTGTCCTCCTACCCCACTTCTAGCCCACCTAAGAAACAAAAGGCCCAGCCTACGGGGGTCTGGGCCCTCTGCCACGTGTTGGGTCTGCGTGCACACTGACAGTTGGCCGACCTCTGGGAGTTTATTTTCTCTGAATAAATTCGGTCTGGCTGCAAGCTCACATTCTGTCTCCTCTCTATTCTATACCATTTTCCTTACAAATGTAGTAGGAGTTCAGGAGTATTTGTTAATGAATGTATGTTATTATTTCATAGTCTCTACTACCACTTCAGAAAGACATGCACACAGTGTTCATTGAATGCCAAACCTTCTTCTAAGTGTTATACAAATATGCATTCATTTAATCCTGAAGACATCCTCATAGAATAACATGAATATTATCCTATTTTTACAACAAAGGAAACTAAAGCACAAATAGTTAATTTGCCTGAGGTCATCCTGCTCTTAAAGGAGATGCAAACTCAGTCTATCTCCTGAGCCCATGCTGCACTATGCAGCACATTCCAACTTGAGGATGTGAAGTCTCCTGCAGAGCTTGTAAAAAATGCGTATTCCAGAGCCAGGAGCTTCATCCTGGTCTCCCAGGTGTGTAGGGGCCCAAGCACTTGGGTCAACTTCTGCTAGTTTCATAGGCACATTAGCAGGGAGCTAGATTGGAAGTGGAGCTGCCAGACTTTGAACCAGTGCCCAGATTGTATGCTAGCAATGCAGGCTGGGGTATAACCTGCTGTGCCAGGGCACTGGCCACAGCCTTTGATATTTGAACACAGGCAGTTGACAGCGGGGTTCAGGAATCACTATTTCTGTCAGCTCTTTAGGAATTCTGCTGTGGATGGCGCCTAACCCAGTGGGACTAATATTGAAAATATACTAATCTGATTAACTGATCATTGCATAAAATGATTGACATGAATGAGAAGTCAAACATGTTTCTCAAATAATACTATTGGGCCAAAAATATGCTTTTGTTCCATTCTGGAATTAAACCTGTGCTTTGACATGCCTATGGACAAAATGAATGATTTAAAAAAAGTAATCAAAGTTAAATGATGGGGGCCGGCACCGTGGCTCACTTGGTTAATCCTCCGCCTGCCGCACCAGCCTTCCATATGGGCACCGGTTCTAGTCCTGGCTGCTCCTCTTCCAGTCCAGCTCTCTGCTGTGGCCCAGGAAGGCAGTGGAGGATGGCCAAAGTGCTTGGGCACCTGCACCTGTGTGGGAGACCAGGAGGAAGCACCTGGCTCCTGGCTTTGTATTGACACAGTTCCGGCCGTAGCAGCCATTTTGGGGGGTGAACCAGCAGAAGGAAGACCTTTCTTTCTGTCTCTCTCTCTCTCTCTCTCTCTCACTGTCTATAACTCTACCTGTCAAATAAATACAAAAAAAATTAAATGATTGACTGCAGCAAAATAGCAGTGCAGAAGGTCCCAGGCAAGAGGCAGCGTAACAGGTACATGTGCAGATGGAAAACCAACTTGCATGCCTTTGGCAAGAGCCATTTCTCCACAGTAGAGAATCAAGCCTTTTATTTTGTTGTGTTTAGAAAATAGTTGAAATTCTCTGTTTCTATTCTAGAGTTTGAAATAGAAAAATGCAGAATATACTTGAGTAGCAAGGGCCACATAATCAAGTTTGATTTCCGACAGAAAGAAAAAAATACATGCTGTTTCTTTGATTTCAAAATGCTCATTTTTATGCATTTAATATTCTAAAACTGAGATGTATTCATAAAATGGAGTAGCAGTTTTTCTTTTCTATCCAAATGGTGTCTTAGAATAAAAAAATACAATAATTTAGTTTGAATCAGTTTTTAGATGGCACAGGTTACAAAAAAACATAAAGCATAATTTTAAGTCATAATCAAAAGGAAATAGCATGCAACTATTTGTTTTTTTAAAATACTAGGAAAATCTAGTATGTTTTTTTAAACATATAGTTCAGATTTGAATTTCAAAATATGGGATGACAAGCAAAAATGAGTTCAATCACCATGATTTAAATTTTTCTAGTGGTAGAGTTCGCAAGCTATGAATAATTTCTTTCTTTGTCTACTCTCTCACAATCCCCACAATTCTCCCAAAAGGAGGTGATTCTCCTCAGACTATGTTTTCCCAGAGAGAGTTAGTAGTGAAACTGATAGACACACATGAGTTTTCTCATCCTTTTGCATGTATTGGACAAGTTCAGAGAGGGAGTAGTTTGCAATAAATAACAAATGGAGAGAAATGATACAGTCTGTGATGATAAGACAGTCTCTAAAAACAGTTCTGAAAATCAGTCATGAACCACTGGGCTCTTTATGCGGCTTCACTATGCAGTTGAAGGAGTTAATGAATGAACGCTTATTACTTATGTTTACAAAATTCACATATAAATACTATTACAGGTAGGAATGCAAATTCAGGATCTCTGAATTTAAGACTATAATTCGTATTTAACTGGTATTTGCAGAGCAGGAAAATTTCAGAAATTTATAAGGAACTCACCAGTACCAAAGACCTGGGCAGCAACAGTGAATTCTGTGAAGATTGAAGGGTAAATAGAAAACTCCTAGTCCTAACCGGTTCAAAGCAAGGATTAATGAAGCATTCATTTCGTGTTTCCAGGGGGTTGAACTCCACAGGAAGTTTGAGTCCCATGCCATTAGCGATCATGCGTGGTTAGTAGACTCCTATAAACAATGAAGAAAAATGTCATGCGAACAGATGAAGGGAAACAGGTGAGCTAGGTGAAGGCAACAGTAGATACATGGACTGCACCAGACAGGGAGAGCAGAGGAGGCCAGGGTGTAGAACCGTGTGTTTTCAGAATGACCAGCACAGAAAGGGAGCAGGGATGAGAAATGATAAAAGGTGAGGCAGGAAAGATAAGCAAGAGAGTGGCCTAGATTTCTTCTTTTTTTTTTTTTTTTTGGACAGGCAGAGTGGACAGCGAGAGAGAGAGACAGAGAGAAAGGTCTTCCTTTTGGTTCACCCTCCAATGGCCGCCGCGGCCGGCGCGCTGCAGCCAGTGCACAACACTGATCCGATGGCAGGAGCCAGGTACTTCTCCTGGTCTCCCATGGGGTGCAGGGCCCAAGCACTTGGGCCATCCTCCACTGCACTCCCTGGCCACAGCAGAGAGCTGGCCTGGAAGAGGGGCAACCGGGACAGAATCCGGAGCCCCGACCGGGACTAGAACCCGGTGTGCCGGCGCCGCAAGGCGGAGGATTAGCCTAGTGAGCCGCAGCGCCGGCCTGAGAGTGGCCTAGATCTTGAACCACCTGGAAGCCATCAGAGAGCTTAAAACAGGAGTAACAAGGATAAGAAAAATACTGGAAAACATCCTACTGGCTTAATTTAAGTTGTAGAGAAGGCAATCGCATTTACTTTATCTTGATTGTTGTTAATTTTTAGTAATAGTTTAAATTTTTATTAATATGTAACCCCAGTTAACTCCAGGTTGCCTCCAAATAATTGAATTCATGATTGTGAAAAAGTGGCTGTTGACTCGGGCAAGCAAGATCTTGATGAAGTTGAAAGAGCTTATCAAAACAAACCAGAATACAAAAACAAAAGTTAAACAATAAAAAAAGATTTGTTCCTTTTATGTTACCATACTTTCTCCAAACAAAGCGAGTAAGAACACAGTATCATAATGAACTTTTAAAAAAAAGATTTTTCAAGTAGGATAAAGCATCTAAAGAACATACTTTATTTCAAAGGATAAGCAAATAATGAGAGCAAAGTGGAATAAAAATGCTTAAATGGAGGCTTCTAAAATGCATGCATAATCTTGAAAAGTAGGTTACTTACAGTGCTGGGATTTTTTCAAAAAGATTTGTTTATTTATTTGAAAGGCAGAGTGATACATAGAAAGAGAGAGTGAGCGAGAGAGAGAGCACACTCCCATCCCCTGGTTCATTTCACCCCCAGCTGGGTCAGGCCAAAGCCAGGAGCCCAGGGCCCAAGTAGTTGAATGACCATCATCTCCTGCCTCCCAGGCACACAAGCAGAAAGATAGACTGCAAGTGTGCAGTAGCCAGGACTCTGACTTGGCTCTCTCATTTGGGATGTGGGCAACTCAAGTGGCGGTCTACCACTGTGTCACAATGCCCTATCCCAGCTATGATATTTAACAAAGCCACTTATGTTTATTTTCTAATTGATCTTTAAAGTACTACTTTCCAACAAATTTTTCACTGTTGTCTGTCTCTGATTCATGGACACTATTGTTCTCCATCTATTCCTGTTGAGAGGGGACAAGAGAAGCTACGTGCCAGAGTACTGGGTAAGAGGGAAAAACCACACACTCTTTCCTAAAGGACAGAACTGAGACTATTGGAAACATTTAATACGTTCTGATTTCCTAGATCCTTTCCCATGATTCACTGATTTGATTCATAGGAAGTTGGGTGTGATCCCTCATCTCTGACAGTGAAGAAACTGAGTCAGAACCACAAGTGTAGACCCTGTGCGTGGGCTGCAAGTCAGGATGGATGGAAGTGACAGATTACCCTGGTTATCAGAAGACACTCCCACCTTTCTTTCACCACTTTTTATAAGTTCTTTCTAGAACTACAATGAGCAGCATTCATTCATTTATTAATTTAGCAGATATTATTGCTTCTTAGACAAGTCACCATTCTAACCGTTATTCTAACACAAGACATATGTGCTTATATTTCATATCGATTAGAAGAATCACTAGCCAGAAGTATACATGGAGTCACTAGAGGTGACTGCAATAATTCATTCTATCAGAAAAAAACGCTTCCATATAAATTGAACCATGAAGCAAACAGAACAAATGTCAACGTCACTGGGATGCAAAAACCATCGTATTTCATCTTAAACAGAGTGAGGATGCCTTCATCTCCAAAGAAGGATTTATTTTTAGAGAGGAGTTTTCTTAGGCATAAATATATAGAAGCAGGAGATTTCTTGAGACCATGGATGTCAGTGTCCATCCAACCCCTATGTGGGTGGGATAAGAGGTTACCTGTAGGTAATGGAAATAGTCTCTGACATAGAGTGTCTTTCTGATAGCAAAGTCCAACGGCATAAAACATGAACTTCATAAAACGAAGCCCCACTCTCCTAATTCCTTGTTCAACTAGAAGCTTGATCATTTGATGTTTTCAGTAGTTCACCCATAGGGAGAAAAACGTGGGTCACATTAATTAGTCTTTGGTTCCCTTGGCCATTGTGTTTCTCATGGTGCTTTAGTTTCTTTTCACTTGGTTGCTTCACTAGCATGACTGCCTCCAATGTAACCAGTTCAAGTTCTGAGCCTCTTGGGCTAGGTGAAGCAGTCTGTGGTTTCAGTGAGTCCCTTAGGGTAAATGTTATGGTAAGACATAGCAGCAGCCCCAGCTTATGATGTCTCAGTCCTGTTGCTTATCTTACTTTTTATATACCAAATGGAAATGGCATTGTATAAAAGCAATGCATTGTCCCCTTCTTAGCTTGCTTACAGGAGGTTTTGGTCGCAGACAAATTGATCGAGGTGCCAGGGGAGGATTCTGAGTGACTAGTAGGAGATGCCACACTCACTGGCTTTATCAGTTCTATAGTCAAAACAACATGTTGAAATAAAACAGATTTCTACCTCTGTCTCCTTCCCAACATATATATTCAAAGGTATTATTATTTTTTTCTTTTTTGTGAATAGACTTGAGAACAGGTTTTAGTAGCTCAGAAGAAAATGAGCATATTGACAGAACAAGAAAATTCTCAAAATTTAGCTTAACACATTTAAAATGCTGTGATACATATGTATATAAGTTAACTTCATGTATACCTGGGGGTGGAAAGTAAATTAGTAAATATGTTAAGTTCTCTAATTAGCTAAACATGCTCCAAGGATGGTTTGCTAATATCTAGAAAACACAAATGAGGTTCTAGAGGCAGCTTCTACAAAGTTCAAAAACCCGTATCTACATCTCTCTAGAGGGCATCTTAATTGCACAAAAATGTTACAAATTATTTAGTTGATAAAATGAATAGTGTCTAATACCTGTAAATTGCCTAGAAATGCTGTATAAGAACCTCCACCCTTGCTTAGGCTATTGCATCACTGGGAATCACGAGTTTCCCTTTGGTGCTGGGTATCATCACTTGAGGATACCAGAGATCTCACTAAAAGATCCAGTACCCGTGGTGTGAGCTGTGGTGCAGAGAGTTAAGTTGCCGCTGGAGACCTCTACAACCCATATTGGAGTGCAACCTCAAATACTGGCTGCCCCATGTTAGATCCAGCCTCCTGCCAATGCGTCCTAGAAGGCAGCAGATGATGGCTTAGGAGCTTGGGCCCCCACAATCCACATGAGAGACCTGGATGGTGTTTTTAGATCCTAATTTCAGCCAGGCCCAGCCCTGGCTATAACGGAAATTTGGGGAGAGAACCAGGGGATAGATGATTCTCTCCCTCTCTCTGTCACTCTGCTTTTCAGGCATAAACAAATAAATAAAAAAATTATAAAAAAAAATACTTAGGATCTCAATCCAGTGAATCTTGCTAATAAGCTATTTTTGCACCTGTCCTAATGAACATTTCATGCAGAATGCTTGAATGCATATAAAGACAAACAACTAGAACTTGGAGTGGATGGAACTACATCATTAATGTTTGGTTCTGTTCGCTGGTCAGTGTTTGCATTCGGCAGATTTATTCTGGCATTTGCTTTATCTCAACATTTCCAACATCTCTCCCAGTTGTGAGGGGATAGAGCAGGAGGCCAACAGTGCTCTCAGCTTCTACAGTCAGGTTGTCTCTCATGTCTCACAGCTGTGAATGGACAAAATGTCTTAGGTCAGTTCACAACACCAGGGCCCAAATAACCATCTAACATTTTGGCAATGTTAATTTCAGAATCAGATTCTGTTCCAAACCAGTCACTGAAAACTCAGGGATTAGTGAGCATGCAGGCTTTATTATTATCTATTTCTGTTGTTAGGATAAAGAGTTGAATAAAAGATGAGCCACTAGTAGGCTTCTCCTTCTTTCTTTTTATGTATTGCTCAAGCTCTTTTCAGGATTCACTGTTTTCAAGGAATGACAACAAAATTTGCAAAGCACATGGGCCTTGTATTGTTAGGAAATTAACCCAAAAGATCCCTTGTTGTTCCTTCCATCTTGGACCTCAGAATTTCTGTCTCACTTTTCCTTTGCTTCAGAGATCACCTCTCCCTTCCACAGCAGCTCTGTGCAGGATCTGTTCGTGGAAGTGTGTAGGGTTTCATTTTTATTCCCATGAAGCTCCACATTCTCTTCATTGACACGTCTCAAATCTCTTCCTGCGGGGGCACAAGCTGTGTGCCGACTCACCTGTTAATCAATTCTCTTTCTACAAATATACCCAGGATTGAGGTTCTTCCTCTGGAAAAGAAACCAATAATGTGGTACAGTCACCAAAAAATAAGAACTGAGAAATAAGAAGGAATAGACCTTATCAGCTGCAGTCATAGGGTATCCTGTGGGTCTGGGTGATTTTCTGTTTTTTGCTTACACTTCCAAGGAAAAGCCAGTTCCCAAGAAGAGAAGGGCACCAGGACAGCTTTCTAGGAAATTGTTGGCTGTTTCTCAGTTGGCAAGATGAATAAAGTAGATTTCTCATTTCAATGGTATATTAAAGGTATTGGAAAGCAGGAGAAATGTTTCAGAGGTTCCTGTGTCTGTGGTGAACAGATA